TATATATATATATATATATATATATATATATATATATATATATATATATATATATATATATATATATATATATATATATATATATATATATATATCCTGACATTTATATTATTATAATTGCTTCATAATGATAACAGAAAGATTTCCTCCGATAACAGGAAGATTTCCTCGAAAATCTTATCTTCTATCATGCAAAGAATGGTTTACGAGCAAGAGTCGTGAGTAAGCAAGAGCAGATCGCTGCTCGCTGCTGCTACTGCGACTGCTGTTGTTGTGAGAGCACAAGCATTCATTTCGTTCTCTTAAGTTCATCCTTCGTTCTCTTTAAGTCCGTCGACTGTTGACAGATTAACAAAGACTATTACGGTGAGGAAAATGAGGATTGGTTGCAGCGGCATTGGTCGCTGGCCGAAGGCAAGGGCGAAGCTTTGCTTTTCTCAACGGCTTTGATCGCTGGCCTTAAGCAAGAGCGAAGCTTCGCTTTTCTCATTGCTATGATACCATGATGAAAATAATAGAAGATAAAAATAATTATTGAAGAAGCTTTTTTTACTTTTTCATCAATAAAATTTTCTTTAATAATTATTCTTATTTTCTATTATTTTCATCACACAACTGAGAAAATATCAGCCACCGGACACAAACTGTAGAGAAATGGTGATTTATTGTTTCGGAACTGAAAAGAAACCAAGGTTTTGGATTAGCACTACAAACTGGAAATGCAAATTGGTCCGTCACTTTTGGTCCTTGTTCCACATCCCTCTGATTCTTCCAAGGACATGGCTTTTCTTCTTCCCCGGGGATTCCTCATCCAAGTCGTCGGAGAACTGTAGGCTCACCAGCTTCCCCGCAGCAGACCTGTAATCGGAATCCGCAGCACCAGCCGTTTGATCAGCCGTAAGCATCACGATAGCTGTTTCAGCAGCCTTCCTCCACTGCTCCGCTTGCACCTTCAGCCTCCTCAACTCGGCCTCCATTTCTGTCTTCGCCGCTTGAGCTGCCTTCAGCTCCTCCGCCGCCCTTGTAGCCCTTTCGCTGTGTTTTTCGGCTTCTTCGGAGATGAATCCTAGCTTCGTCAGCGCGGTCTTCGTGGTCATCATCTCAGCCGCTGCTGCTTCGCAAGCATTATGCTTCTCTGTCTCCACCCTCCTCAGCTCCAGTTTCAATTTCTCATTGTCTTCAGAGAGTCTCCGCAGTGCCGTCTCCTTGTCGGCCAGTTTGGTCTTCAAAGATATGACATCAGCTTCAGATTGAATTTGATGTTCCCGTCTTTTATCCATGTCTGCGAGCAGCTTCTTGTTCATATCTGAGATCCTGCGTAGCTCCACTTCCCCGTCGAAAAGACTGGTCTGCAACACGGTGATCTCTGATTCAGCTTCACTTAGTCTCGATTTTAGTTCAGATTCTCTGAGTCTGGAGTCGGTACTCATTTTGTCCATGTCTGCGAGCAGCTTCTTGTTCATATCTGAGATCCTGCGTAGCTCCACTTCCCTGTCGAACAGACTGGTCTGCAACACGGTGATCTCTGATTCAGCTTCGCTTAGTCTCGATTTTAGTTCAGATTCTCTGAATCTGGAGTCGGTACTCATTTTGTCCATCATCTCATAAGTGCATTGGAGCTTCACCATGCTTAAGATCTGCTCTTGTTGATGCTCGACCAGAGCATCTTCAAGTGTTGACATCAACTGTTCCGCCTCGGAATCTGAAGAACCAAAGCAGATCTTCTTTGGATCGCCGAAATCGACTGAGGGTTGTATATGAGCGGTAAACTGTTCGTGCTGCAGTTTCTTTACAGTTTCTTCGAGTAACTTGACTCCCGTTCTGGATTCTTTCAACTCGGTAGCTACGATGCTGAAGGACTCCATGAGTTTTGATCCGTCACTAAGGAGAGACTCGATTGTACTCTGGGCAGATTCCAATTGTCTCCTCGTCTCGGTAAGCGTGGATTTCGCCTCGGATTCGGCTTTTTCGCTGCTTCTGAGCTGGACTTTGAGGTTTTCGATGGCGAAAGATGCCTCTGCCAGATTCGTTTTCGAGGACTGGATCTCTAAATGATGAACCTCAGACTTCTTTGCGAGTGCGGCCTCGGATCGAAGGACCATCTCAAGCTGCAGTTTCAGCCTCCGCATCTCGTTCATGGCGGAGGCCAGCGCGGCAGTGTCAACCGAGTGCTGATTCTGGATAGCTTCCAGCTCGGACTGCCATGCACGGTCGCGTTCCTGAGAAATCTTTCGTAGTTCTTGAATCCGAGCGTCCTCTGCCGCCGACAGCTCCTCCATCTGGCCCTGGGAGTCTTCCAGCTTTAGAGACATGACCAGAAGTTCCTTCTTGGCCTCTTCTGCTTCCTGCTGGGCTCGTCTCTTCCATGATTCAGTTAAGTTCAGCTGATCCCTTGTCTTCTTCAGATCCTCCTGCAGCTGAGTGATCTGACATTCCAATTCAGTGACCCTACTCGGCCGTCTCCTCTGGATCAGAAGCAAAGAAAAGGAAGCAAGTGAGGATCCGTAATATCAATCTCCTCTAGCACGGGCTTAAATTCTTAGCAGGCTCAATATCAACCAAGAATTAAGAACAATTGAGTTTACTTGAATGAGATCCAGCATGCATATTTTTTTATGGACAAGTGCATAACAATTCCTTTAATTTCATCGTTGTTGGTATAGCAAAAGACCGAACCACTTCCTAATTTCTTCCTGATACACATGAATTTATTTGGATTTCTATTAAGGAGAGATTAATAGCAGACACCAAATAATAATAATAAGTAAAAAAACTGTGTGTCAAGTCACATATGTCATCATTACTCATATGATTGGTTTACAAAGCACATATGACTAATAGGTACCATCCGAACATAATTTCACTTGCTTCTGTCTCTCCTAAATTTTCACTGTTTTTCGATAGAAACTCTAAATTTTCAGCTGCTAATAGCATGCAATCACATATGCTAATTCCAATATGCATGAACTATCTCAGATTTCACATGATTCTCATGGAAGGTTTGTGATGATATGGTTTGATTTAAAGCTGCAATTAGACATAGCAATCAGATAAACATATCATGGTCCTTTGATTTCAAGATAGTTAGTGGTTCTCAGCGACGAAGGTTCCAGACATGGTATTACTATGATGAATGGATTGGGTACCTCAGTCTCCAAGGCTTTGGCTGTGCGGCATTCGATCCTGGGACTTCTGTCAGTGAGATGTTTCGATTGATTTATAGCAGAAGAGGTATTTGATTCAGATCCAGTCATCTTCATCGGACGCTTCGATCTAGGCGTCACCAGACAAGCCTTTGCTGGCACTTCGGCGTACCCATTCCTGCTCAAAGAGAAGAACTCATAGACAAAATAGAATCAGCAAGAAACATCAAAGCCGTTCTATTTATCAACTCGGATGACTGATCTAAGTGACCGACCACCAAGAGGTGTTCTTACGAGCAGAAATTGTGTAGAGGTTCGTAAGTTCATTTGAATGGTAAATGTTATCCTCCAGTGGCATGGCAATTTTGCTTGAAGCTAAAGCCAAATTTGGCTTCAAGCTCTTAAAATCGAAATGCAAATCTCCAGATGCATTGTCAGGGAGAGAGGACCTACGACTTGAAGGAAAGAAGACAAACATGAAGCAAGCTACAAAACAAACAAAATAAGATTTGAGGAACCATGGAGAGAAGAAACAACAAATGGGCAAGTGTCTGAGATGGGGTGTTTCCGACACATGGGGGCCATCACCGGAGCTGAAATAGTACCAGGAAAAGATTCTGAGAACATCCGACTGACCATGGTGATGATGTCAACCTCGGTGTTCTTTGTGTGTGCCAAGTCAGTGAAGGTTCAACCAAGTGAACATTCTGTTCCATTTCATATGATTGCCGGGGAACCTGAGCAAGTATGGATAGCCCCAAGAAATGGTAACCCAAACCAGTGTCATACCTTGTTTTGGATATCTGCATGCTGATTGCGTTATTTATCTTGTGACAGGCCAACCCTGCGAAGGAAGAAGTACAGGAAGACATCAGAGTGAGAGATTTGTGGGGGGAGGAAGGCACAGAGATGTCAAGTGGGAGAATGGAATTATTGTGCTTCTTCTCACCTCACCTTGTGTTAAAAACGCAAGCAAGAAGGAGTATGAACAGCACTGGAACTTCCTTTTTCTTCACTCCGAACCTGCTCAGGTACGCAGAGTATCATCCCTACCAAATGAAGCACCGCAACCACCAAACGTGGGAACTGAGAAAAGGATTCGAGCAGAACTAGTGCCTTTTTTCCTTGGCCTCTACTCCACTTTCTTTCTCAGTTCAGCTGCATAAAACACTATAAAGTCACTGCAGAAAAAGTGATCGTTCACAGAGTGGTTCAGTCTACACTACTACTTGAATGTCTATAAAGATCTTTGAACTGAAACAACAAGATTGAGAATGACACAAGAATTGAAACTCACCAAGACTTGGTCTTCTTCGTTGCTCTTCTCCTTTCTCTCTCCAAACCTTCTTCTTCTTCTTCTTCTTCTTCTTCTTGTTGCTGCTCTTGTTTGTGCTTGCGATTCCCTGGGCTTCTGCCTACTTGTGGTTGTTAGTGGAGTTCCTCTCAAGCTAAGAAATGAGTACAGGAACAGGCTTAAAATATGAAACACATTGTATGAGAACAAAGCATGCATATACTATAAACTACTCACACAAACAATGTTTCAGATAAACATTTTTCGCATAAAAATAATTTTTAATTTAATAGTGCCATTCGAAGTCTTTAAAGATGAGGCAAAAAGAAGGCTCATATGAAAAATACTTTTATATTGGAAAGTCCATTAGATTTCTGTCAGTATCATGATTGAGATGATCGAGTGTCACGGGTTACGGCCTCCGTAGCCAGTGAATCTGGAGAGGCAAATGGAACATGCACTGACCTGTGAAGATGTTTCCTTTTCTTGTCTTAGGGTTCCCTACAACTGATAGGTTCATATGATCCGATGCCTCACGTGAATCCAGCCGCAAGTTAGATGCATTTCTCAAGGCGGCATGATATATTAATCTTGTTCGATAAATTTGGGGAGAAACTTGAAACATATTGTTGTTGTTATATAAAAATATGAATTAAAAGGGTAAAAGAATTTAGGGTGGTGCATGTTGTTGCTCACTCCCACCCATCCATTTATGGTTCTCTTCACACAATAGCGTGTGTTCACGGGCGGGTGGATGAAAAGAATAAGAACAGGGAAAGGTATCTCCCAACAGCTTCCTACTTGTAGTAGGTGTGCAGAGGGACCAGATCATGACATGGAGATATGGGATTTGGGTTCCGTGATCTGCAATGGAAGCAATGATTTCATATAAAATGAGGTTGGCTTTGGCTAAGAATCCCATCAAATAAGATGTTAGGTTTTTTACTCGTGCAAGCTCTCATCATAACCTAAGTTTGTCTTTCTCTTAGTGGCCCCAAAAGGTAGTTCTAAAGAGGAATCCTCTGTGACTAAATATTATCTTATTAATATTAATTCAAATTAGTTAATTAATCATAATTAGAAGAGATCAATTTCAGATTTTTTATATAAATATTATTGATAAGGGAGATTGACAAATCGATTGCATAAGTGATGAACAAGTACTAGATGGTTTGATACATATCCTCACGATTGAATAATAATCGAATATAACAAAACTATCTTACCGGTCTTTTAGATTATCTTAAAAAATATAAGTCTACATTCACATCTCTCAAATTCTTTTAATTTTACTAACTTAAGCATTAGAGTAGCTTTTCTCAAATACACCCCCAATATAATTTTTACAGGATCACCTGTCGATCCTCCTGTCTATCTAACATATCTTTAACAAGTTTAGACATAGAATCTAGATTGAATCTGAATCTTTGATATATAAAATAATTAAAACCTAAACATCGTATCTCTTCAGCATAAGATTTGTGATAAGTTTGAATGCTAGATTCAAGTTGAATCCGAACCCCCTAATACATGCAACAATTAAAATTTAAACCTTATTTCTCTCGAGAGTATTAAACTATGGGACAAGTTCAAAAGCCGATTAATAATATATGAAACAAACATATATATATATATAATATTATAATATCAATCATATATGGAACAATTAATAATTAAGAAAGTATGTATTTATGAAGAATCTTTACATTTTCACAAACATATATATTATAATATTAGAGCAAGAAAAATATATAAGATGGAAGAGATATCTGGAAAGCAAGTGCCTTGTTTGGCATTAATTAAACCCTGTACGTGAGGCAAAAGCGTTAACGGTAAATGATGGGGAACAATGATGCGTATTAATAAAGCAAAGCCGCACTCTTTGTCTTTAAGCGTCTGCAAACCATTTCTAGGAGAAGGCGATGTTTGGTCAGAGTCCAACAACGACACTGAGGAGAGTAATCAAAGTTTCCACTTAGGTTCCAAATTAGTGTACATTAGAAAAGGAAACAAAATATATATGGGAACCCTTCGGCTGCGTTTTGAGTTGAGATTGATTGTATGAAAGAGGAAATCGGAAAGAGAAAAAAAATAAAGATATATATCGAGATCGAATAAGCATCTAATTAGAGGAATAATTTCTCTCACAATGATTATTATGTCTTTGCTAAATTTGTCTCACGTCTCAACAAAATAGAGGAACAAACTTTCTATACGAACAAATAGAGAAATAAATTTTGTATACGAACAAATACAAATAAGTTATATGTAATAAAATTAAATAGAATCATAATAAAATAAGACACTAAGATTTACGTGAAAAGGAGGGTAAAAACCACGGGACTGATAAAAATTAAATGAAGAATATAGAAAGATAGAAATTGTAGAAGAAACTATGAAATGTATAAGATGTAATTGTCTAGTTCATTTTGATAGTGAGCTATTGATAGCTATTTATACACACTCAGCAAGGAGGTTATACACATTCAGCATAGAGGATTTTTCTCAACTGCTTAGAGATTTCCTCAACTGTCTTGAGGAAATCTTATCTGCTTATCATACCCCGCAAGATTGAGCTTCCATCAAGGATGCCGATCTTGGACCGATGAGATGAAAAAAGTTTATGGGCGAGAGGCTTTGTGAGTGAGTCTACTAGTTGATCAGTTGTATATACGTGAGAAACATGGAGTTGATGTCTGACAACTTGATCTCACACGAAGTGGAAGTCAATAGCTATGTGTTTCATGCGGGAATGGAACATTGGATTAGCATATAAGTAGGTAGCTCCAATATTATCACAATATATTGTAGGAATAACTGTGGAGTTGACGTTGAGTTCCTTGAGCAGATTTGTGACGCAATTGAGTTTAGCAGCGGCGGTGGGGATGACACGGTATTCAGCTTCAGTTGTAGATCATGTAACCGTCTTTTATTTTTTAGAACTCCAACTGATTGGAGTAGCTCCAAGGAAGATAATGTATCCTAATGTAGATGTTCTATCATCAAAGTTTCCCGCCCAATCAGCATCAGCAAAGGTATGGAGATGGAGTGAAGTATTTTTGCGAAGAAAAATGCCATGATTAAGAGTCCCTTTAAGATATCGCAAAATTCGTTTGACCGCATACCAATGAGTAGTAGATGGTCGATGTATGAATTACGATAATTTATTGATGGCAAATGAAATATCTGGACGGGTGAGAGCCAAATATTGTAAGGAGCCAAGGACTTGTCGATATTGAGTCGAATCTGTAGCAGGACTTCCATCACATAATTTAAGTGATTCACTGGTAGAGAGAGAAGTTGTAACCTCTTTCGCATCTTGCATGTTTGTCTTTGATAATAAATCTTGAATATACTTTCTTTGTGATAGGAAGAGACCTGAAGATGTAAATGTTGCTTCCACTCCCAAAAAATAGCTTAAAGTTTCTAGATCTTTGAGGGAGAATCGATCGGCCAAGTGCTTTAGAAATGCCTGAGTCTTCAAAGGATCATTTCCTATGACAGTAATATCATCCACATATACTAAAAGATATATTATGCTTCCATTGTGCTGGCAAATGAATAACGAGGTATCAGACTTGGAATTGATGAAGCCAATTGAGGTAAAAAACGAGCCAAGCTCGTTATACCAAGCCCTTGGAGCTTGACGAAGTCCATAAATAGCTTTTTGAAGTTTGCGGACATGCCTCGAATATTGAGGATGAACGAAACCAGGAGGTTGCTGCATAAAGACATCTTTAGTAAGTGTTCCCTATAAAAAGGCATTGTTAACATCCAATTGTCGTATATGCTAGCCTTTTGAGATGACCAAACTCAAGATAAGACGAATTATTATGGGTTTAACAATGAGACTAAATGTCTTTGTGAAGTCGACACCAGGTCGTTGATGAAACCCTTTGGCGACTAGATGTGCTTTATATCTGGCAACGGATCTGTCTAGGTTCCGCTTAATTTAAAAGACCCATTTACACCCGATGATATTTTGTGTATGATAAAAGGATACTAAGGTCCATGTAGAGTTATGGAGGAGAGCATCATATTCGTCACAAATGGCTTTACGCCAGTGAGAAGATTTTTGAGCTTGAGTGATTGTAGTGGGTTCACTGGCCTTAGTGGAGGAACTTGTTATAGCATGTAAGTCAAGGACTTGACGTGGTTTGACAATACTGATAAGTAGATGAGATCATTCTCTCCTCAATAGCAGTGAACGGCGAACAACGGTGTCTTCCTCGCTTCCCGGCCAGTAGCAGTCGCAACTGCTGCACCTTCCT